TGTTGAAGTTTTTACAAATGAACTAAATAACTTCAGCATCTTCTGCTGAAGTTTTTGAAAAAGTTTTATGACAAAACTAATGAATCCAGGACAAAAAAACTTCAGCTATTTTAGTGCTGAAGTTTTTACAAATGAACTAAATAACTTCAGCATCTTATCCAGGACAAAAAAACTTCAGCGTATTGCCTTTGCTACTTCAGGCCCGTCTACTAGAATACTGAAGTTTTGCGTGATCGCCTTTGCTACTTCAGCCCCGTATGCTGAAGTTACGCGAAAAAGTGGGTACGCTTGCAATTTTTTTTGTTGCAAAGCAGGCACAAGTTAAAACGTGACCCAAAAAGTGGGTATAGATGCAAATCTCCTGCATGGTGATTCTGAAATTTCCAAGCAAATTGGGCCTAAGTTTGTGATTGTATGGCTAGTGCTACTATCTCTAGTTAATCGGGTGAAATTCAAAAATAGCCAGATTTACAAGTGATAATTGAAAAATAGCCACAGTTTCAAAAGTAACTGAAATTTAGTCACTTTTCATGTAAAGACAAATCTGAGCGAAAATATTGTTCAAAATTCAAAAATTCCAGCATAATATACCGGAGTTCCAGCATAATATACTGGAGTTACAGTAAATATACTGGACTTCCAGCATAATATACTGAAGTTCTAGCAAAATATACTGGTCCAGCATAATATGCTGGAAATTCGTACACAGTTGCTCCAATCTCTAGTATATTATGCTGGAACTTTCCGTGTGTTGGAGTTCCAACATAATATGCTGGAAGTTCATACACAAATGCACCAATCTCCAGTATAATATGCTGGAACTTTCCGTGTTGCAGCAAAATAGTGGCTATTTGTCAATGACTTTGCAAACACTCGCTATTTTTTAATTACCAGTCCGAAAACTGGCTAGCTCGTGCTATTTTCACAGATAATCGAGTTTAATTTAATAAATTATAAAACTAATCCTCGTTAATAAATAAGTTAGTTATCTGTACTTGATTAAGAGTTTCACTCTTTTTAGCCTCGCCATTGCCGTACTGTTATTTAAAGAATTAAAGACAAATGTCAGCGTTATTGTTTGGTCCATTTAGGTTGAACTCCATAAGAGCTCTAAATAATTCATTAATTGTCAAGCTAGGTTTTAATGCGTAACCTCTTAGTAATTGTAATATCCTCAAAATCTTCTAATAGCTTAGCCAATACATTTAGTTCTCAATTTATTAATCAGAACTTACACAACATCCACAAATGATCTTCATAATACCTATGGCTTTATAATAATCTCAAACTTAAAACTCCTAATAGTTAGTATGATTTAGAAGCACATTAATAATTTAATTATCATGGTTATGGGTATGTTCACGTGGCATGATTAGGATCCATAAATTCAAATTTAAATGTGTGTTCTCGCAAATAAAAGTTTTATTAATCATGGATACGTACACGTGGCCTAATCTTTGACACACAAACACGACAAGTGCATGCACGCGTGACTTGTTCAAGATAACTTTCATAACTCGATAATCAAGCAAATTAAAAGCGGATAAGTATTAAAGTTCTTAGAATATAGGATATCTGAATTAATTAATCCAAGTGTAAATAATTAAGAGACCGTGGTAGAATCACGGGACTCAAGGAATATCCTACACATTCTTCCCAGTCAATAAAATTTCTTACCCGATCTTCTATGTCCGCGGACCATATCTGGAGTCAAAACTTTCCTTGAAAAGGAATTTCAAAATTAGTAAATTGGAACCCGAAATCAAATAATTCGAAGTAGCGACTCCTTTAAAATTATAACATTTATCTTTTTTCAAATAATATCACTTTAATTGAAAAAATTCATTTGGCCATAATCTCCGAAAAAGGAGATGTGACAGACTAACAGTGATTATATGAGCAAGGTTGATTGCTCTATAGTGAGATGTTTGACATTATTTCTATTAAAGAGACTTGGGTCATTTAGCCAACATACTGTACATGGTAACATTTTATTTTGTAATGGAGTTACTGTTTGATTTAAGTTACTCATGTGTTTACAGAGTTTGGTATATTTGTTTTGGAATGAACTTTGTTTGGACTGAACGTTCAAGTTTAGTGTATGTTTGTAACGAACATTAATTTGAAAAGTGTCATTTTTTTCCTGATATATTGTATTTAATGATAATTTGCTTTGTATGCTTTTAACAGGTTTTTTGAATTATACAATCATACTATTGGTAATACATTTGCTTTTTACTAATTAGAATTATTTCAATGCACTAACTCGAAACATTGTTTGGACAAAATTCAAGAAATCTGCTTATTAAGCTATAGAGGTTTTAACTGAACATCTTAGAAATTTTGTGCTTTTGTTTTGAACATTCGACTGGTGCAAACGTAGCCCCTAAGGCAAATGAGACTAATATTTTTTTTACTTATTTATCTGTTAATTGGTAATAAAAACGGTCATTGACTCTATTCTTCATTCATACTTGTAGGCAACACTTGATCCAAAGGGAATCAAAGATTCATGGCGTTGTATTGATCACTTTACCTGCCGTATTAGTTCAACCACCTCATCTAACTTTCATTGTAAGTGAGTTTTAAAATCAAGTTCCTAAATTTATTTGTGGAGCTTGACAGTTTAGTAGTCTTGCTTAGTTTGTAGGTACTTGCTCCAGTTATCTTGTTAGAATAGAATTTTTGTATTTAGTAAAGTAGGTTTTTGTTTCAACAACAGCCTCAGTTATGACAGAGTAATCAAAACTGGTGAGAGGTATGTATACTAAAAATATTGTCTATAAGTATTAAGTGAGGTACACTTCATTACATATTTATATTACATAAAATCAAAATAAGTAAAAATGAATCACATGTATCTAACTAAACTTTAATTATTCATCTTCGTAGATTCAGACAATATCCTATCATCTTAACCATAACAAACATGTTATTATACGATGATCAACATTAATTATTTACATGTTATTATACGACGTACAAGAACAAGGGTGATGTCCAGAATTACAACAACTATAGGGATATCAAGCTGCTAAGCCATACGATGAAAGTTTGGGAGAAAGTGGTGGAAAGGAGGTGAGGGGTGAGTATTTCCGAGAACCAGTTCGGTTTCATGCCGGATCGTTCAACTACGGAAGCCATTCATCTTGTAACGAGATTGGTCGGTGGAGCAGTATAGGGCAATGAAGAGGGACTTGCATATGGTGTTCATTGACCAAGAGATGGCATACAACAAAGTGCCGAGAGAGATTCTATGGAGGTGTTTGGAGGCTAAGGGTGTGCATGTAGCCTACATTAGGGTGATTAAGGACATGTATGATGGAGCTAAGACATGGGTGAGAACAGCAGGCGGAGACTCGGAACACTTTCCGCTTGTGATAGGGTTGCATCAAGGATCAACCCTTAGCCCGTTTTTATTTTTCTTGGCAATGTACGTATTGACTCGACACATACAAAGGGAGGTGCCATGGTGTATGTCATTTGTAGATGATATAGTTCCGATTGACGAGATGCGAGATGGTGTTAACGAGAGGCTGGAGGTTTGGAGACAGACTATTGAGTCTAAGGGTTTCAAGTTGGGACTAAGACGGAGTACTTGGAGTGCAAGTTCAGCAACATTACCCAGGAAGCAGACATGGATATGAGGCTTGATACACAAGTCATCCCCGGGAGAGGAAGTCTCACGTACCTTGGGTCAATATTACAAGGTGAAGGGGAGATTGATGAGGATGTCACACACCGTATTGGAGCAGGATAGATGAAGTGGAGGCTCGCTTCCGTGTCTTGTGTGATAAGAATGGGTATGTTTTATAAACCAGTAGCTGGACCGACTATGCTGTATGAGGCAGAGTGCTGGCTGACCAAGAACTTTCATGTCCAGAAGATGAAAATAACTGAAATGAGGATGTTGAGATGCATGTGCCGTCATACCAGGTTAGATAAGATTATGAATGAAGTTATTCGGGATAAGGTGGGAATGGCCCCCATGGAAGATAAGATGCGGGAGGCGAGGTTGAGAAGGGACATGTTAACAGGAGAAGCACAAAAGCCCAGTTAGGAGGTGTGAGAGGTTAACCTTGGTGGTTATGAGGAGGGGTAGAGGTAGGCCAAAGAAGTCTTGGGGAGAGGTGATTAGGCGGGATATAGCGCAGCTGGAGCTTACTGAGAACATGACCCTTGATAGGAGGCTGTGGAGGTCGAAGATTAGGGTAGAAAGGTAGTCGAGTATTTTCATTTGTCTTAATCTGTTCGATAGCATTAGTGTTAGTTTGATGTCTTGTTAATCTTAAATTGCTATTATTACCTACCGTTTAGTTGTTACCTTGGTTTCGGTCTTTTTTTTATCTTGTTGTTATTACTTGTTTCCATTGCTTCTTTTCAACTTTTCTTTAGCCGATAATTTATCGAAAATAGCCTCTCTACCTTCTAGGGTAGGAGTAAGACTGCGTACATCTTACCTTTCCCAGACCTCACGACCCCACTTCTAGGAATTTGCTGAGTATGTTATTGCTGTTGTTGTTGTATATGATGATCCACATTAATCATTCAAAAACAATATACTTTGCTCTTCATTTATAATTATTTATTCTAAATTTTATTTTAGTAATATTAATATTATTTTACAAATCACATACTACATTACTCAACATACACATGCAATGCACGTGTTGAGAAACTAGCACTGATATGTGGCTATCGGTATAGATTTTTTTCCAGATAGTGTAGCCAATATGTTCACAATTTATGGACCGCCATCTTGTTTACTTGATGCACGTACTGAACAAAATACTGGATAAACTGATCATGTCCCTACCGTTAGGGCTTTTATTTCCAGATCATGTATATATTTTATAACGTTTGATGAGACTATCTGCTTGATATCCTAGTTTATATTGTTTCAAGTGTTTATCTATGATGCAACGTATACTTTCTAATTTATTTATTTTTTCAAAAAGAGAGATTAGTTCTGCACCCGTTAACATAAGCAACACTTGCACTGATCAAAGAACATAAGCATTTCTCCTCTTCTAATCATTCTCAAACCACTAAATCATGTTGGAACAGCTAATATAGGCAATCAAAGCCAAAAACAGAGATGCAGAGGTCCATCAAGTATTAGTAGCCAACTCACACTGATAATAAAACAATAATGGGTCGCAAAGTTGCTGGAAAGTGAAGCTGAGAAGAAGATTAGGTAAAATTTGGGATGGAGATCAAAAGTTCAGTCAGGGAGTACACAAGAAATGTTATACTGCTAATATGTTCACCTCCAAGCTTTGTCGACTGTAGTGGATTTCAGTATTTCTTCACAATTTTCAAGAGCGAGGAGTAAGTCCCCAAAGCTGCACTTGCAATGCCGATTGCAATAATGCTGATGCTACAAACCATCTGAAAACGTCAAACATTGATGATCATCATTACTCAACATTACCCAAATTCCATCACCTAGAATTAATAATCAAGAAAATATAAAACGGGAAATGATATGTTAATTCTCGTGTTCTTGTCATATTTCTGCAACTAGTAAGCAAGCCCAAACGGTTTATGGCCAGAAAATGGAAATCAAGCCTAAAAATTTAATGCCAACAGCGATACATCAATTACCTGTGTCCTTGTTGCTTTCTTTCCAATAATCTTTAGGAAACATAAAGCTGGCATTATTACAGCCTGAAAAGCAAAAAGATTCAGATATATTGACCAGCATAAAATTGTGAGCAGAAGTAAAATAATCAGCGGACATCTCCCGTCAAACATCTAACTATTCGTGGTTTACTCATTCTACCCCAGGACTCTGGTTGCCTCTCTATTTGTACTAAATGGTTTTAAAGTCTGAAAACAGCTATCAGTTTTGGCAAGTCAAGGACATTAGAATATTCATCATGTGAGAAAGCACGGGAGAAAATATATTATTGATGTATATACATATGTTACAATGAGCCCTATATATATACACACATAACATGTCCTACTCCTAACATATATTGGATTAGGGTTATTTATTTACTCCTATTTACATGACTATTCTAACACTCCCCCTCAAGCTGGTGCATATAAATCATATGTACCAAGCTTGTTACATATGTAGTTAATACGAGGACCAGTGAGGGACTTGGTGAAAATATCTGCAAGCTGATCATTCGACTTCACAAACTTTGTAGCAATATCTCCCGAGAGTATCTTTTCTCTAACAAAGTGACAGTCAATCTCAATGTGTTTAGTTCTCTCATGGAACACTGGATTTGACGCAATATGAAGAGCAGCTTGATTATCACACACAAGTCCCATCTGACTAATCTCACCAAATTTCAACTCCTTGAGCAACTGTTTGATCCAAATTAGCTCACATGTCGCCATAGCCATTGCTCGATATTCTGCTTCTGCACTAGACCGAGCAACCACATTCTGTTTCTTGCTCTTCCAGGACACCAAATTTCCTCCTACCAAGACACAATATCCAGACGTAGAACGTCTATCAGAAGGTGATCCTGCCCAATCAGCATCTGAGTATCCAACGATCTGCTCATGGCCTCGACCCTCAAACAATAAACCTTTGCCTGGAGCTGATTTTATATACCGAAGAATGCGAACAACTGCATCCCAATGACTATCACACGGAGAATCCATAAACTGACTCACAACACTCACAGAAAAGGAAATGTCAGGTCTTGTCACTGTAAGGTAATTTAATTTACCAACCAACCGTCTATATCTTGCAGGATCGCTAAGAGGTTCCCCCTGTCCTGGCATAAGTTTAGAATTCGGATCCATCGGAGTGTCAACCGGTCTACAACCTATCATTCCTGTCTCTTCAAGAATATCTAAGGCATACTTTCGTTGTGAGATCACAACACCTGAGCTAGACTGAGCGACCTCAATACCCAGAAAATACTTTAGTTTGCCCAGATCCTTAGTCTGAAAGTGTTGCAAGAGATGTTGCTTCAATTTAGTAATACCATCCTGGTCATTGCCGGTAATAACAATGTCGTCAACATAGACCACCAGATAAATACAGAGACTCGAGGCAGAATGCCGATAGAATACAGAGTGATCAGCTTCACTCTGAATCATGCCAAATTCTCGAATAACTGTGCTGAACTTACCAAACCAGGCTCGAGGAGACTGCTTTAGACCATAAAGTGACCGACGCAAGCGACATACAAGGCCACGAGACTCCCCCTGAGCAACAAACCCAGGTGGTTGCTCCATATAAACTTCATCCTCAAGGTCACCGTGTAAAAAAGCATTCTTAATGTCTAGCTGATAGAGGGGCCAATGGCGAACAGCAGCCATGGATAGAAAAAGGCGGACTGATGCTATCTTAGCCACAGGAGAGAAGGTATCACTGTAATCGAGCCCAAATATCTGAGTATATCCTTTGGCAACAAGACGAGCCTTAAGACGATCAACCTTACCATCCGGACCAACCTTGACTGCATACACCCAACGACAACCAACAGTAGATTTACCTGAAGGAAGAGGGACGAGCTCCCAAGTACCACTCATATGTAAAGCAGACATCTCGTCAATCATAGCCTGTCGCCATCCTGGATGAGACAATGCTTCACCTGTAGACTTAGGGATGGAAACAGAGGACAAAGAAGATAGAAAAGCATAATAGGGTGATTGGGGACACAATACTGCATACGGTATCTGATTCTGGATGGGAGAGGACGGCATCCGATTAACTAAATAACAAGCTGTGAGAACTGCATCGCCCCAAAAACGCAGCGGAACATGAGATTCAATGAGAAGTGTGCGAGCAGTCTCAATGATGTGCCTATTCTTTCTCTCTGCAACCCCATTTTGCTGAGGGGTATAAGGACAAGAGGTCTGATGAATAATTCCTTGGGAAGTCATAAACTGCTGAAATTGAGAGGATAAATATTCTAAGGCATTATCACTGCGAAAAGTGCGAATGGAAACACCAAATTGATTTCTAATTTCAGCACAAAAATTCTGGAATATAGGAAACAACTCAGAACGATCTTTCATTAAGAAAATCCAAGTACATCTTGAATGATCATCAATAAAACTAACAAAATAACGAAATCCCAAGGTTGAACTGACTCTACTAGGACCCCATATATCAGAGTGAACTAAAGAAAAAATAGACTCTACGTGACTCTCAATACTACGAGGATAGGAGGCTCGGGTATGTTTCCCGAGCTGACATGACTCACACTCTAATGTGGATAAACTAGACAAACCAGGCACCATCTTCTGAAGCTTGGATAAGCTTGGATGTCCTAATCGTTTGTGAATTAGGTCCGGAGGATCTGTAACTAGACATGCCTTGGAGGATTTTAGGGAGTTAAGGTAGTAAAGCCCTTCTGATTCAAGTCCTGTTCCAATCGTCTGCCCTGTACTGCGGTCCTGCATAATAAAAGAATCATCAATAAAATATATACCACAATGGAGGGCACGAGTCAAACGACTAACAGATGCAAGATTAAAAGGACAGCCAGGGACATAGAGAACGGAATCTAGAGTGACAGAGGGTAGGGGATTCGCTTGTCCAACTCCTTTTGCTTTGGTTTGAGACCCATTGGCTAAAGTAACAGTGGGAAGAGACTGTGAATACGCAATATTTGACAAAAGTGATTTATTACCAGAGATATGATCAGAAGCGGCTGAGTCCACAACCCATTGTCCAGGAGGACTAGACTGGGAAACACAAGCAAAAGAATTACCAGCAACAGAAGTATTAGTCTGAGCAACAGAAGCTACTTGTGGAGATGTCTGCTTACTTGCTCGATACTGAAGGAACTCATTATACTCCCCTTCAGATAAAGAAAATCCCTGGTTACCTGTAGTCTCAGTCTGAGCAACATAAGCATTTTTGGTTGGGCGGCCATGTAAAGAATAGCATACATCACGAGTGTGTCCAAGTTTATGACAATAGGAGCACTTGGGTCTAGATCTTCCAAAACGACCTCCTCCTCGTCTATTCTCCATAGTATGAGATGCCCGATTGTCCACTGATTGGGATACGAGGACAGATGAGTCAAGTGTCTGTGATGAGCTCACTGGGTGACTAGGTGCTGCAGCAAGGCGAAGTAATCGAGAGAATAATTCATCAACTGTGGGGACGGTTGGACTAGCCAAAATCTGGTCACGTACTGAATCAAGGTCATTAGGGAGTCCAGCGAGTGTAAGAACTAGAAACATCTTCTGTCGTTGCTCTTGTTGTTTTTCAATACTAGCAGAAACTGGCATCAACGTCTCAAATTCTTCCATGACTGCCTGAACTTGTCCCAAGTAAGTAGACATATCTAATTCCTGTTTCTTCAAGCTTGTCATTCGCGATATTACATCATAGAAACGAGATATGTCATTAGTGTATAGATTACGAGCCTTTTCCCAAACTAAATAACATGTCTGGAATGGACGGAACAAGGGCATCAACTTGGAATCAATAGATCGCCACAGGATACTACATAACTGAGCATCGACCTTCTCCCACTGTGTTTTGGCCTTTTCATCACCTTCGCTAGCCTTTTTTGTTAAATGATCTTGAACTCCTTGACCTTTACACCACAACTCGACAGATGAAGCCCAATCTAAGTAGTTTGAACCTCCCATTAAAGGTTCTGAGGTAATCATAACACCGGAACTGCCAGAACTCGGGTTTCTAGACCCGAAAGCATCGACTCCCAAAGACATGGTTGGATTATCACTAAATAACAAAAAAGAATCAACTGAAAATTCTCTGAGACAGATGAAGAAAACACTGTGTTTGCCGGAAAAGTACTGTAGCTGCCGGAAAAATCAGTGTAGTCGCCGGAAAAACTCAAAGTGGTCGGAATTAAAAAATAAAAATATGGACAGGCTCGGAATTGCAGGGCGATCCAACTGTCCTGAAGAAGCGAAGCCGAAAAATGGCCGGAAGAGGCCTCACGCGCCGGCGCGTGGGACAGACGCGCCGCCGGCGGCAGAGTTCCGACAGGCGCGTGACGGCGCGTGGAGGGCTATTTTCCGGTGATTTTTTCTGGGGTTTGGTCGGATCTCTCTTGGGAACCTTGTGGTGGTGTTGGATTTTGCACAACACTGTTAATTAGTGACTTTGACGCAATAAGTCACTTAGGTCACCGGAAAATTGCACGGTGACTGAGTTCTTTCTTCCCGGAAGTCGCTGGAATGATGCACAGCGATATGTTTCTCACTAAAGCTCTGATACCATGTGAGAAAGCACGGGAGAAAATATATTATTGATGTATATACATATGTTACAATGAGCCCTATATATATACACACATAACATGTCCTACTCCTAACATATATTGGATTAGGGTTATTTATTTACTCCTATTTACATGACTATTCTAACACATCAATGTGCTCAAACAGTAACTATTCATAACTGGCTAAACAGTTAGAGAAATACGAACTAAACAGCTCAACCTCTTTGGAACTTTGACGGGAAAGTTCTACCTCGTCAAGCTCCATTATTTTGAATATTAGACCCATATCATCCATTGTATATTTATTTATTTATTTATTTTTGGAAGGGAGAAGCGAGGGCGACCGATTGGATGTAAAGAGGAATTTATCAAGATATTCTTGGTAAAAAGAAGAGATCTATCATGGCATCCAAGAAGCATAATGCTCAAATGAATTTGAGTCGACCTTTTAACCATTTGAAAAATCAATTAGAATTGCACCTGCAGCTTCTGTCATTTGGCCCCAGGCCCCCAATAGAGTCTAAACCATTATTTAAAGGTACAATATATCGGGACCCCTTGAACTTTGACCAATTTTATTCAGTTCACACCTAAATTTTAGGTTGGCCTAGTTACGCCCCTGAACTTTGGCAATCTGATAGACCCCCCCCGCCCCCACACACACACACACACCGGACGCTGATGTGCAAAGAGCGTGAAAACACTCTTTTTTAGGTGCGTGACACGGAAGAAATTTGAAAAAATGAATTTCCAAGAGGGGCATTTTTCAACTATTAGTTGTCAAATAATCAAATACAATGATATAATTGTTCCAACTATATTTCTCCTTGTTTCTTCTTAATATACATAGCGTATTTTATCCCAACTACGATTTTTTTCCTCTTTAGATATAATGATTATTTGTTCCAACTGTTTATTTCCTTTTCGAGCCAAATATGCAAAACTTAGTTGAAACTCCATTATTTTAGCCAAATAAAAGAATTTAGCTAAAGTAACGGAGTTCTAATAGTGCATTTTCTAGAGAAGAATTTTTTTTATGTATTTCTTCTCTTCATGCAATGACTATGTATATCAACTGTATGTTTATTCTTGTTTGGGTCAAATTTATTAAATATTTGGTTAAATTTCATTATTTTTAGCCAAAAAAAGTCTTTTATCCAAAGTAATTGAGTTCCAATTGTGGATTCGGTCCGTTTTCCAAGTACATCCGAGTAGCGCGTAAGGCGCATGCGGCAGCGATAAAGCAGTAACAACTAGCGGCAATGGCGGCGCGTGGCTGCTCGTGGACAGCGGGTAATCAACATCGTCTGGTTATGCAGCAATGCCTCGACAACCCGATTATATTCCAGGTTCTTTTCTTCTGGAGTTGGTACCTCCGGTCATTCAGTAGATTTTTTTGGTCTCCCTTTCTTGTTAGTAAATTATTGCTCTAGCTAGGGCATAGTGCTTGCAAGCTTACACGATTTGAGCTTGTATGTTCATCAAGAACTCCCATGTCCAGAAGATGAAAATAGCAGAAATAAGAATGTTGAAATGGATGTGTGGGCATATTAAGATTGATAAGATTAGGAATAAAGATATTCGAACAGGGTAGAGGACAAGATGCGAAAAGCAAGACTTAGATGGTTTAGGCATGTGAAGAAGAGAAGCACAGATGTCCCAGTGAGAAGGTGTGAGAAATTGACCTTGGTGGATCTGAGAGACGTAGAGATAAGCCAAAGAAGTACTGGGCCGAGGTGATTAGGCAGGATTTTATGTTGTTTCAGCTTACTGAAGACATAACCATTGATAGGAAGGTGTGGAGGCTGAAACTTAGGGTACAAGGTTAGTAGGTAGTCGAGAGTGTTTCTTCCCCATACCTGTAGTATTAGTGGTTAGTCTTGTATTCTGTTATTGTTAGATCTCTATTACCACATTTTGTTCCTTTCGCTTTGTTTTCTTATTATCCTGTTGTTGTTATTACTTGTTGCTACTGCTTTCTTTTTCATTTTTTCTTGAGCAGGTCGTCTATCAAAAACAGCCCCTCTACCCTCAAGGTAGGGGTAAGATCTGCAAACACACTAACCCCTCCCCAGACCCCACTTGAGAGATTATACTAGGTTTGTTGTTGCTGATGTTGTTAGATGCCATGATTATTTGTTCTAACAGTATATTTTTCTACTTTCTGGGCAAATATGTAAATATAACTTGATTAGAATATCATTATCTTCAGCCAAATAAACAATTATACCCAAAATAATCTTGCTCCACGTTTTTCTCCTTCAGATTTTGTCCTAAAAAGATGATCCAAATAATTTGTGTATTTAAAAGGGTAAAAATATATATTGTATCTTTAAAAACGACACGTGAACAAAAAAATCCACATGGCATCGTGTGCGTCACACTTCCATGGGTTGTCAGTTCCAGGAGGTCGAGCCTATCAAATAGCCAAGTTCAACGGGGTATAGGCCATAAAGTATTGGTGTGAACTGAATAAAAAGTCGTCAAGTCCAGGGGAGTCCCGATATATTCTGCATTGCTTGAAACCTTACTAACATTGTACTTATCTGATTATGAGAAATATAATTATCAAAGAAGATAGTTCTACCAATACGTTTCCAGAAGCATAAGGATCAAACCAAAGAAAAATATCAGGAAGATAAAACAGCCAAGTACAGAGAGGAAAATGGGTTGCACTAAATAGGTAATAAGCTTTTCATAATTGACAGCTTAATGGCTTGCATATCAAAGAAAAAGTTATTATCTGTAATATTAAAGAAAAAACAATAAGTTCAAGATATAGCCAAGTACAGCGAGGAAAAATAGGTTTCACTAAATAGGTAATAAGCTTTTGATAATTGAAAGCAAGCTTTGATGGTTTGTGTCGAAGACATAAATAAGTAAATAAAAGTGTGTTCTATAAGCTGTTAGATGAGATGGTCACCCACTTCATCAGTTTGCATATCCAAGAAAAGATTATCAGTCTGTGATATAAAAACAATAAGTTCTGGATCCAATAAAACTAGAAACGAGCTTACCACCAGTATACTGAGAAGAGAACCAATCAGAGCCATCACAAGACCTGCAACAAAAGTGATTTATGACTGTATAACTAGAAATTGTCTCATAGATTTATTTAACCAACCAAACATCCCTAAGGTGAAGCTTCTTGCTTGATGCACATATTCGGTGCTTTAGGAACGCAATATAGAGAGGAAGAACACTATCACAGCTTAAACTCTGCAATTTGCTTTCTCTCTTCGAATGCAATCCATGTCTGGATGGATTTACAATGGTACAAGCACAATCAGAAACATCTAAACAAACCATTCTGGAAGTTAAGGAGATACATGTGCTTACTTATACATAAAAACCACGCTAGCTATTTCTGGGGTTGATATCAAACAGAACTTTTTTAGACCTCCGTCTTTAAGTCGTCATTATCATATGTTTCATAATTCTTGTTTCACTAACCAGCAATCAATGTCTTCATGTTTTCAGCAAAATGGTAAAGCACCCGGACCAGAAGGCTTCATACAGCTAATCTTACTCATACATGCTCTAACATAGTTTTATATATATATATATATATGACCTCTTTTGCTAATTATCCAAGAATTATCACACAAACTAAAGCAAGTGGCAGCAGTAATATTTGCAACCAGAAAAGCTTCTGGCTGAAGAGAGACTTAGTGAATTCATTAAATTTTGATGTTAGAAGAAGAACACATCAATTAAAAATTGACTCAGACGTACTATATTGTTCGAGATTACCTTCTTTTTCTCTATCTTTTCTTAGCAGAGGTAAAATCAGATTAGGCAGGGTTGTGGTGCCCTAATAGAAACTTAGTCTTCTAAGAGAGTTGGTGATAGATGAACATGCAACACGCAGAATTAAAATAAGATGGCTGAAATGGAGGAGCACCAGGGAATGTTGTGTAATAAAAGATACCTAACAAAGTGAAAAGTAGGCAAGTTCAATAGAGAAATTGCGACCCCAACAATGTTATACCGGACTAAATACTTAGCTCCTAAGATGTAAAAGATTGTATGGCATAGAAATGCATATGTTGACATAGATGTTTGGTTATACAAGACTGAACAAAGGATTCATGTTGACCAATATAAAACTTAGCTAACAACAAAACACAATGAAACAGAGGATTCATAATCTTTGATTCAGTGTTTGCCAAGATTCTCTAGAATTCAGCTAGAGACTCGCATGTCATTATAGGGAAAAGTGTGCCATTGGAGAACCTCTAGTTTTATAAAACTAATTTTCCTTAAAAGACAAACTTTTGGTATGGAAATAAGCTGGGCCGGCATAAAGCGGAAGTGATGCAGAAGATTCATAAAGCCTATAGGGTTCCAGATTATATGTAGGGTTCCAGATTATATGTATAAAGAATAAGTACTGATAGGAGAATAGCCTTCAGTGAACTAAAATGAGATTAGAAATTTTAAGTTAAATATCGTAGCTGAAAGATAATGTTATGTACCAAAAAAGGGAACTAGAAATGCAACGCACAGGGTAGAAAAGACAAGCACTGTCCTTAGGAGAATAAAACACAAGAAACTATTAGAGATTCTTGGGGGCAGCAATTCCTCTATGCTTCTTCCCAAAGGATTCATCAGCAATGCATATCTGTGCAAGTGCAAACTTTAAGGAAAGCAAAAGGATATGCAAAGTTCTTCTCTTTTGTGTACTTAAGACATGCAATCTAAAATCTCTACTGATATTTCCGAGTGTAAAAGGATACTTCGTGAATGGGTTGATAACCTGCACGGTAGAGCAAGAATAAAGATAAAAATTAATGATTGCCAAATAAGATTCAGGAATATTTTGAAGGGATAAACAGAAAGCAAACATACAATGGTCCATACTGCTATTCTTGAAGAGATTGAATCCTCAGGCATATTCAAAGTAATCTGAGACAATGTGCTTTGACCAAACATGAGATACCCCATTATTGCAACACCTCCATAGATTAGAATACACAGAATAAAGCTGCATAACAAGAAGGTGTTGGTCATTAACGGACCATTGAGGAAAATGCATAAAACAATTCAATAGTAGAAAACCATACCATATTGCTACTGCGTCATTGAATTTTGATTTGTCAGCCATAGATTGGTAGATGTTTGGGAACACCGAGTGCCCAGAGAAGCAAAAGCCATATACCCCAATAGCAAAAGGAATCCCACTCCAGTTCAGAACCTGATTGGTATTATGAAATCCGACTCCATCCACCGTACCAAGGAAAAGCACACACAGAGCAATTATTATAGTCGCAAGGACCCCGCAGGCTGCAAATACATCAATAAGATTCTCAGATGATGGTTGAAAACCATCCATGCCAAGAGTACTACTGTTTGAAGCAACGTCAGCGCTTTATGTTGGTCAAAAGAGCACCTGAGAGGTATGATATTACACGAAGGTCCCTCAACCAAACAGTTGGCAGAACAACTAGGGCAGTCAGGATCCCAAAGAAGTGAGTCGAATCAAGTTTAAGGCCATCCCAGTTTAGTGAAGTTCCGGGAAAAAGAGTAGTAAGGTTATCTCCTTCCAAAATTATATATTCTACACAATATGACTGCATTGGTGGAACACATATTAGAGGTCTGATGTTAAGGAGTCTAGGTGAACAATGAAACTACAGGGTCTAAACCCAATCTTCACTTACATAGAGCTCAATGTACAAGATAATCTGCAAAAAAATAGCAGAACAGCATCAGAAAATTGTCAGAAAAGACTAACAATCTATAACGAGCAATCAGTTTTTTCCTTTGTCCCTGTAAGCATAAATCAGCTTACTCATATTTTCAGCCAGTAACTTTATATTTAAGCCAAAAAGAAGTTTGGTATTGTTCCACGTTGGCATCATGAAATAAAAATTCCCCCAGCAAATCACAATATGTCCATCCAACTGAAACACTATATGCTAGCAGTTCAGAAAGCTACATTTACTGGGTCCAAATTACTAACATTTGTTCCCACTCCATGAACTGAATTGATCTAACATGAAGTAACATTTTTAACTAACAGCTGGAAGCATTCTATTTTCGCCCGGACAATGTCATGATAAAAGGTTTTATAGTAACAGAAGCAAATGAAAGTCACATAGTGGAGTTGGTACTTGGTAGGGATAAAAGTGGACATTGCTGTTACCGACAAGCTTTTTGGAGTATCCAACTACTAGCTTGAATCCGCCAGTAATTTCTTTTATCCTAATTTATCCAAGTAGGTGAAAGGCAAACAGAATGTGGTTGATGATAGAGGAAAAGTGGAAAAAAGAAGGCAAAACTGGTGACTTCTGACAGGAAGGTGCCCTTTGGTAGTTTTAGAAGAAGGATTGGTAGGAAACTAGGTGAAAGAAAGCATGGGCACATCCTAAACACATAAAATAGTTAATTGTCATTCTACTAATTTGTGGTTAATTACTAAACAAAGGGTAAACAATTAACCTAAACAAGCAATGAAGAAAATCAGGGAAAGATTTAGTCCCACTAAAAAAAGATGACAGGGGGACTACATTATTAGGATACAAAGGGAGGGGCTATTAGAGTTAAATCTTAAAATTACTCATCCACAAGATTTCCATAGCTGAAACTTGGAACTGATTGCACACAGGATCAAGGCATCAAACAACTGTAGATTAAACTTCTGAAACTTGGAACTGATTGCGCATAGGATCAAGCAACTACAGATTAAACTAACTCACAGATATAATGAGGCGTCCAAATTTTCCAAATGCAGCTTCTCCAATATCGGGATAGGTTGTGATTCCTTCCCTGCTCTTGAAGCAATGACTCATAAGAGAAGCTGTGTACCAACATATAACTGCAAAAATTACCAACACTAACAAACTAGCCCAACCAGCTTCTTTCACTGTATAAGGAGTAGAGAGCAGTCCAACTCCAGCCATGACATTGACACCTAAAACAGATAAAAAGAGATCATCTCAGATTATCACTTATTAGCAGATTCAGCACTTCTGATTCAAAATCCTAAGATCTCCCTCCTAGGTAGATTTTCAGGTATAGCCCATAGTAAAGCTATTCACTGGAAGTTGTTTCATCCTGCTAGTTCAGATTGTCAAAGATACTGAATTACTGATATAACAGAAGAAAAGACTCTGAACAACATCAAGGTTTTTCTTACCATTGAATATAGTCTGAGTTAAGCTGCATCCATAGGAAATTGGTAATTCCCCAACCAGTTGCTCATGCAATGAAGAAGCCTTCTCTGACCAAGATGCCTTTGCTACTGAGATTCCATCCACGACATTTTGCTCCTGAATTTTTTCCTTTTCAGCAAGTAAATGTGTCTTCACATCCGAGTCCAAGAACTCTCTACTATCGGCTTCAGATATAATACTGGATCCAAGTCGTAGGAGTCCGAAACTTGGTGATGCGGCAATTGTATATGAGTCAATTGTCTCTCTGTTATCATACATACGAACAGCATAAGAAACTTTTTCTCTCCCATTCTTCTAATCAGAGCAAACATCTGATATAAAGATAAACCTTTTTCATAGTGGAGATCTAAACTCGCTCGTTTGTCACCAAAGCTACAGAAAAGAAGTGGTTCTTTTCTCAGGCTAGCTCCTAACTTCAAACACACATCAATAAGCCCTCAGACCCTCCCCATAGGCACCTACTTTTTTCCTTTTCTTGATGAAATGGTAAAGCCCAAACAAATTCCCACTCCCCCACCCCCCCACCCCACCCCAATCCAGAAAAAAAAAAGAAAAAAAAACTGGGAGCCTATGTTTGCTTCTCCCACTTCTCTCTCTTGATGAATCATTAGCTCGAAATTTCAACCTCAGAACGGCCCTCTCTATTAGGCTATCCCTCCCGTGTGTCAAGACTCTCAAACACACCTTTAATTGCACAACTTGCAAATTTGGCCTCACATCCCAAACCCTTTTCAACCCTTTCAAAACATGATTTCCAAAAGTACTTCACATGCGGTGTCGAGACAATAACATCTGAGCTTTATTCTAATCACCGATGTCCCATCCTACATCATCCAGCCCATATATAGCCACACCAATACAAGCGACCTCCTCAGGTCAGAATAAATTCTTTGGAAGGGAAAAACAGGAGGTGCTAACATATAATGGTGAGTATGGTCCCAAGAACTAATCCTCAGTTTTTCCAATTTCCAAATCTCTCTGTTATGTAAACCCACCACTCACGCAAAGTAGCTCGTTAACCTTAACCTATTAGATATTTTTTCTTCTAACATGCCAGCTATTTTTGATACTATTGACTCAAACAAGATGATACTCCCTCCGTTTCATATTAAATGAGGTACTTTCCTTTTTAGTCTGTTCCAAAACAAATGACACATTTCTAAATTTGGAAATAATTCAACTTTAAACTCTTTTATTTACCCAATTACCCTTAATGAGAAGCTTTTATAGCCACACAAATGTCATGGCTCCCCTTAAACTTTTAAGACCACAATTTTCAAAAGTCTTCTTCTTTTTTCTTAAACTCCGTGCCGAGTCAAACTATCTCATCTAATATGAAACGGAGGGAGTAATAAGTAATTCTAATCAAGGACTAAAATGCACAGCTGAAGCAGAATATCAGTCAGGTAGAAAAAGGAAGCCGGGCCAAGCAACTGAAATTGAAAAACGAAAGGGAGGGGGGTAATTCCAGTCGTTACCATGTTGAAGTGTATTTATGTGTCGTCTAAATACTAAGGTTGATAGAAAGCAACAATTTTATCTTCTATTTATCTAAACAAGTTCCTACTACATAACATAGGATTCTCATTAAATCCTTTTTTTCCCTTTTACAGTTGTTATCCAAAATTGACACCCAATGTTTGGTCCATAAAACCGAAACACAAACTATAAGACACCGGAGTTTGAATCCAACATAAGCAATAAAGTGATTTGTTCCCTAATCATTGTGGACAAGTTATGGGAACTGAAGTGAAGTGAAGTATTAACCTGAAACTTTGGGGCCATTGCTGAGAAGAAAATGGTGATATTTGACCCTCCTCATCAGCAGTTTCTTCTTCATCATCACTCATAGTAAGGCTATCGCTACTTGGATTGGCTTCCATATCATCTGATAAGTATTCTGATAATTCTTCAGACTTCTTTGCCATGGTTATTTCCAATCAGATGCAAACCCAAACAGACACCTGCAAGTATATGTATGTATATATATATATATATATATGGGCTCCGCAAAGACATGATTGAATACGTTCTTGAGATTTCCAGAACCATTGCATTTGTCTGTATTTGGAAAGAAATGATGAATCATTCGCCAAACTGACGAATAAGAAGCAAGGGAGATGATCCTTTTGACTCAAGAAGGGAAACTAATAAGAGAGAGACAGAGAAGAGAGAGAAGAGCACAAAGGTCCCCCAGCTGTATCAAACTCGTTCGTTTTCTTGTTTCTTTTTTCTTCTCCTTTTTATTTGGGGATAAAGAATG